GGTTTGTTTGACCAATGAGATGTTAGCGTATATCATCACGAGACCGCAAATTTTTATGCGGTTGCTATGTATAATCTATCAATAGTTGCGCCGCAAAAACTATTTCGGCATTGATTTTTAATATGAAACCGCCGTAGGTTTCATATCAAAAATCAATGCCGAAATAGTTTTTGCGACATGTATAGTTGCGCTTCAAACTAATAAAGTCAAATGATATATAGTTCCTTAATGATTTATATTTATAAATTTTTGAGTTGCACAACGTATATTTTTAAAATCTATAAAAAAAAAAGTTGCCTATAATTAAAAAATTTTTAATTAGCAATTGGAAGATTAGTGCATATTTTATTAAAATTTGATTCTTTTATTATTTACACTTTACAGAACTAAAAAATTCGCAATGCGTATTCATAGAGTAGTTAGACTTTAAAACAGCAAATTTATAATATAATAGTAATAATCATATCCTGATCCGTTGGGAAACGAAGCTTCCACTTATTCATATACGGATCAGGATATTATTCATTAATCCGCTGTGATCTTGAAATAGTGATCGGGGATTATTATTATTAAACCTAACTACGTACTCTATCAGTATTATAAATTTCTTTGTAAGATAAATAATGTTTAAAGGGGACTAATTTTTATACCCCCTATATTTATTGTTCATACTCCCTAACAAAAAAAAAAACTTTGAGCAATTGATAAAATTAGATGAAAATTTTTTTATTTTGATACTATGAGTCCACGAATTAATTCGATTTAAATTTAGATTCGAATTAAATTCGAATACGTATTCATGCGTAAATTTCACATGAAAAATAGTTGTTATGCAGGGTAGCCATTATATATGCAATACGTATAACTGTTAAATATATTCAATGCACTGCAAGTTATAGTCGTTATAACTTGTTACGTATACGTAACCATTACGGTATAACAGTTATACCTATTATACGTAGCTGTTATAATTGTTATAACAGTTATGGCAGTTATAGCAATTGTTCTAATGGTCATTTAATTCAAATTTTATATGAATTAATATGAATCATTCGAATTAATTCGAATTCAAATTAAATAAATTCGAGTCTAAAAATTATGTTCGATTCCAATCTATAGTCCAGAGGATTCAAATAAAAAGAAATTATCAAATTTGGTCGAGTGATTGTCAAGATATCTTCGCTCAAAGTTTTAAAACAACTCAAAACGTCTATAAAATAATTATATTAAATTTCTTTAAAACTTTAAGCGAAGATATCTTGACAACCGCTTGATCAAATTTGATGATTTTTTTTTTATTTGAATTCTATGAGTCCGAGTCTAGAGAATTCAAATAAGAAAAAATTCATCAAATTTGATCAAGTGGTTGGTTGTTGAGATATCTTAAAGTTTTAAAAAATTTGGCGTAGCTTCTTTATTTTAATAGGCATTTTGAAAATTTCAAAATGAGTGAAGATATTTCGACAACTACCTGATTAAATTTGATGAAATTTTTTTTTTATTTTGATTCTATATATGAGTCTAGAGGATTTAAATAAAAAAAATTTATCAAATTTGGTCATGTAGTTGTCAAGATATCTTCGCTCAAAGTTTTAAAGAAATTTATTTTGATAGGTGTTTTGAGTTTTTTCAACCAAATTTGATACATTTTTTTTATTTGAATCCTCTAGACTCAAAAAATTTTGTCAAGATATCTTCACCCAAGGTCTTTATTTTGTTGGGGTGTGCCCCCGTTTATATTTCAAAATTTTAATAAAATGTGCTATAGCTATAAAAAAAATATATATCGATATTGTGCAATTAAACAAAAACCTTAAATTTATAAGTATATATTATATTTTTAAATCGTACGTAACAATCGCGCAATACATATTGTATGAAATGTAACAATCGGAATTTACTACATACTGATATCGATATCGTTATCGCAATTAACATCAGCCAATCATATTTGATGATCATCTGACGTAATAGCCAATAAAAAAGACGATTAATTCTAACGAAATTGAGCAATTCTGAAATGACTTCTGATAATGAGTGCTTTTTGGGTGGAAAGGTAAATAAATTCGTAAAATATATCCTTTGGGATTGATTTTAATTAAAATGTCATAAATATGTCATTTAACGTTGAATAAACTTCACTTTTAGGTGACCGATTTGCGACGCAAAGGCAATCGGAGATGTAAAACTCTTGATCTTCAGAAATATGAAAATAAAGAAAAATGTAAATGTACTGAATACGATTCTGAATGGTTTGTCTTCTATTATTTATTATAATCTAACAACTTTTAAATGGCGATTTATCTAATATTGAATCCAAATAACTATTTCATTAGTAAATGCAAATTTGAAGGTGTAGGTTTAACAGAAAAAATAAATAAAAATTTCAGTGAGACAGGTATGCGTTTATAACAAATTTAAATTGAAGTTTATCAAGCTTACAAAAATTTTGTATATTGATTTATTTATCTATTCTTAGTTAATGATGATATTATTACAAATATGGTATTTATTTAATTTAATTTAAATTCTATGTTCGTTTATTACAAGTCTATAAAACTAATATTTTTTCAGACTATCTTCAAATCTCCAATTACGGATTACTTTTATTTTACGAGTACAGACACAATCCTCATTCGCGTAAATAATCAAGTTTGGAAGAGTACAGATCAAGGATCTTCATGGGAACCCATTGACGGGCTCAACAATGTTCTTGCAATGTTCAAAAATCCTTATTTTGATGATTATGTATGTGATCTAAAGCCTTTTCCTGATTCAATACTTATATATCATTTAACTTCATGTCCATTCGTTTTCATTTTTAGGCATACTTCATAAAGCTCTCTAATAATTTATATTATACAACCGATTCTGCCAAAAGTATTAAAAATATAACTGTAGAATTGAAGCCCAACGTTCTTGGCATACCAGTTCTCGACTTTCATCCAATAAATCGTGATTGGCTTATTTATACAGCGAGCGAAGGATGTGAAAGTATATTCTCCACTAATTGCCATTCAGTTGTAAGTATTATATATATGTATATAATCGTGTATAATAAAGTATTCAAAGTTTTTTGTAATTTATTTATACTATTTATTTAGGTTTATTATACTAAAAATCATGGCGACCATTGGAGCAAACTGGATACGTATTCTAGAACTTGTACATGGGCACGTGATAAAAAATTTAATGTCAATGAAAATCTTATATTTTGTGAATCTTATTTGAAGAAAACTGGGTCGCAAAAGTCACCTTACGATAATCCGCTTCAATTCTGGTCAACAAGAGATTTTGGTGCAAATATAAATATAATATCTCACAATATTATCGGATTTGTTATATTTGAAAATTTTATGGTAGTTGCTGAGGTATGAAATTCTACGTTGAAAATTGACAAAATTTATATAGTTGAAAATTGACAAAATTTATATAGTTGCAAATTGAAAAGATGCTATATATGTGTTTTGCCCATATAATGGGTGCGTTTTAAAATCGACTTTTTAATTTGTGCAAATTTCTCTTTAACAATGTTTCTTTACTGTTTTATCAAATTATAGTCATATCCTAATCAGCAACTTCAACTTAAGGCATCTATTGATGGAGAAAACTTTGCAAAAACACAGTATCCACCTAACATGGATGTACAAGATGTAAGTATTATAATACTTAATAAACTCAATGTGATTTCCTCATTAAATAAATAATCAGAGTCCAATGATAAAATTTTAACATTTATTTGATTTGCGCACAAATACTTTTTAAGGCATTTACGGTTTTAGAATCTACAACTGGTTCTATCATATTACATGCAACAACATCTTCTCGTCATCTATGGGGAAATATAATGAAATCAAATTACAACGGAACTTATTATACTCTTTCTCTGAAAAATGTCAATCGTGATGGAAAAGGTTTCGTTGATTTTGAAAAAATGCAAGGGATAGAAGGAATCGCTCTAGCTAATGTAGTTAGTAACACTAATGAAGTAATCATTGGTGGATCAGCTAAAAAATTTCAATCAAGAATTACATTTAATGATGGTAACTAATAAATTAAGAATACTGCTTTAATGTACTAAGCTTTTTATAAATTAATATCTTTATAAAAATTCTAGGTGGCACGTGGCGAAAGTTGACTCCACCCACAAAGGATTCAGAGGGTGAGCCATATAATTGTATTGTAAGTAATTATAATTTCTCATTATTCACGCTTTTTTTATTAGCATAACTAAACTGATATTCATGGTTTATTAGGGGAGCTGCACCTTACACCTTCATAGTTATACGGAACGGAGAGATCCCCGAGATACCTTTAGCTCTTCTTCAGCTGTAGGATTAATGATTGGTGTAGGCAATGTTGGAGATTATCTCTCTCCTTACTCTGATGGCAATACATTCTTGACCCGAGATGGTGGTGTCACATGGACTGAAGTTAAAAAAGGTGCATATATGTATGGATTTGGAGCTCAAGGTTCTATTCTGGTTTTAGTAGATGATGAAACGCCCACAAATCATATTTTGTAAGTTTTTTTTTTTTTAAAAAAAAAAATTTAAATATAATACTTTAATGTTATCTAATTCTTTGTAACTATTAGTTATTCTTTCAATGAGGGCAAAACCTGGACAAAACATGAGTTCACAGAAACAAATAAACCTATTAAAGTCCATGACATCTTAACACATCCCAACGGTACTAAAAGGGAATTCCTTTTGCGAGGACGTTATCTAGGCGATCCTGATAGTGAAGTGGTGTTTTATCTCAACTTTGCTCCCAAGTTGACCGAGAAATGTATTGAAAATTTTCTTAAATCATTCTGATAAAGTAATTTTATCAAATTATGCTAATTACTGATAAGAATGCTAAAATTTTATCTTTTAAACAGGTAAACTTGAGGACGATTTTAATTTATGGTCACCTAAACATCCGGAACATACACATGATTGTTTGTTCGGCCATACGGTACACTTCATATATCCACAAATGAATTTATTGATCTTTCATTTATTGATTAAAATCTATTCAACATTTAAAAGGTGAGTTATTACCGGAGGAACCTTACACGTGATTGTTATATTGATGAAGACTTTTCGCAATCGAAAAAAATTGAGAAAAACTGCACATGCGATGAATACGATTTTGAATGGTAAGAAGAAATCTTACCTTACTTTGTTTTTTATGTTGGCCATTAAAAATAATTCATTTTAAATGATAATTTTTCAGTGACTTCAACTATGTTCGAGCTAAAAATAAGAGTTGCATATTGGTTTCTAATCACTCACCTTTACAACTAACTATTCAAGAAATGTGTGCTAATGGTGCGAAAGTTTGGTACAATGGATCCGGGTAAGTTTTATCGTTTTAAACTTTACTGCATTGAGTTTATTAATAAGTTAAATGCCTTTTAGCTACCGTAAAATTCCTATTTCGACATGCTCTGGTGGCGAAGAAGCTTACTTAGGCAAACCTAATTGGTGTCCCAGTGAAGGTTATTCTGCCACTAATTTGATTATCCTCATGGTGGTTGTTTCTGGTGCTATCATTGCATGTTGCATGTATAGGAAACGCAATCGATACTCATATTTATCTCAAGGGTTGGTGTTATTTTTTTATTTTAGTCGAATGTACATTTCTATTTATTATGTGCATTAATAATAATTATGTATTTAATTTTTTAAAAATAGACGCATTCGCCTTGGAGATCCTATGACAGATTCTCAATCATTTTTGTCAAATATGCTTGAATCATTTATGGACATTATTTCACAAATCCTTTCAAAGATTTCTTTACCAAGATCTGGCAACAGATATAGATATAGACCCGTATCTCAAGATGATCCTAATGATGTTTTGTTAAACGAATATGATGATGATAATCAAGAGTTGTAAAATTTTTTTCCTTTATTCATTCTATTGAGTGTAAGAATATTAATTTGGTTAAGCGTATATGATGATGATAATCAAGAGTTGTAAATTTTTTTTTCATTATTCATTCTATTGAGTGTAAGAATATTAATTTGTATAATTTTATTTTTAATTAAAATTGAACAAGAAAAAATGTGAACTCATTTTTCTTATCAGTTTATATTAGTAATGTTAATATATTTTGGGAATTGATATTTCCACACCATGATATATTTGTTACCCCCCCTGCTCTTACTCTTTATCCAATAAATCTTCAAGATCCATGTGTGAATACCAAAATTTGTCTTTCGTATCTTCGTCATTTATGCTCTGTTTATGAAATTTTGCCGTAGCTTTAATAACCTAGAAGCATTATTACATCTGAAACCGAAAAATTATGTGTAGATAAAATAATTAACATGTTCATTACACAATCACAGAAATGTGTCAGAATCCCCACCGACCAATGGATCTGACAATTAATGTCGAATGCATAAACAACAAAGTGCATTCGAAAAAAAAATTTTGAAATTTTTTTTACCAAATCAGCCTATATTATAAATATTATTTATATTTTTACAATTATAATGTTTTATATTTTACCAAGAAAAAGACAAAAACGAAATTTTAAGTTACTAATCATCTACCTTTTTGATATGCTTATTATTTCTTGGTACTCTTTATGTAAAAATACTGTATATATATTCAATATAATCATTTATTTTATTGTCAATAAAATATATTCCATTCCATATTCTTGGAAGACCCTTCAATTTCTTGATATCAAGTATCATTTTTTGAATCGGTATTAACTTTGGCTCAATATTTTTTAATATCAACCATTTTTTTTGTTGCAAAAGATCTAAAGATTATGTCTGTATAACAACTTTTATGTGAGTAAAATAATAATTGTCGCAGTGGCTGATGCTGAAATTTGGAGTCTCGATTTGAAATATTAACTCTGCTAAAATTCACATATACTCTTTATCAATTCTAACCCTAAATCCTAACCTAACCCTAAAAAAAAAAAGGCGGACAAAGACACAAAAAAGTTCAAATTTTCATAACAAACTAGGTCTGAAATTCAGCATTAGCATCAGCTGCGACAATAATTTATGCTACTGCTGATGCTGAGAATTAACTTTATTTTGATATGAAAATTTTATAATTTTTGGGTGCATATTTTGTTTTTTCTTAGAGTTAGATTAGGTTAGAATCCATGGTTAGTTGTTAATAAAGAGTATACGTGGATTTTTAGTAGATGTTAGTAGACTCAAATTGAAATGTATTATACTTGAAGGATTTTTT